CATGGCACCGTCTGCCGCTGAATTTTAGGGTTAGGAGGGCATTGCTATTTCCCATGTGAAGGGTCATTTTAGGACACTGTTGTTGCTGCAAGGGCAGATGCTTGGTTTGGGGCCTGTCAGATCTAATGGTGTTTCATTAGGGACGCGTGTGGGTATCTCAGTTCAGGAGATACCTCGGGTCTCAGTACACTGTCAGTGCAGTTTTCTCCTGGTCTGGAGAGCACTGCAGCTCTTGGTGACAGGAGATGCCAAATATGGTGTTTGCTTTCCTCCAGTTCTGCTTGAAGGTGTAATTTGCAGTGCTGCAAAGAGGATTCTGCCCTGCAGGAAGCCCCTGAGAAAGCAGACTTTGCTGTTATTCCTGTGAGGAGCCTTTTTTTTTCAAAAGTGTGGATTTTCCAGGCCTGGCTGCTCTTGACCTGGGAAAGGGGAGTTGGGGGAGAAAAGAAATCATGCAGAACAGATGTTCTGCAGCATCAGCAACAGATGAGGGAGGATTTGATTTTGGCTGCAGAGAAGCAGAGTCACAACTAAGCTGTCAGTATGTTGCACATGAAAATGTTGGACTGGGGCACATTCCCAGAGCCAAGTTCTGTTGCGATATGATCGTGATTACAGATACTAAATATAATTTTATGATGGCAGATTACTAAGGATATGTATTGGAACTGATGCCTTACGTGTTTCATACACTACTGCTAAGGCCAGACCCAAAGCTGCTTAAATCAGCTGAAGAGTTCTCATGGATTCCAGACAGTTTTGGATGTCAGAATCTATGCTTCATTAATGCATTCTGATGTTGGGAATTTTCCAAAAGGTTTCAAGTGTTTCATTTTAGTTTGTTTTAGTCTTTTCCACATTTTTAATCTACATAGTTGACATTATGCAATCAGAATAAAATCTTCTGGAGGTAAGGTTACACAGAGCATTGTAACATATGGCAGTGCCTGTTTTTCCATGGTAATAATAATAATAATGCTGCAGAAAAGGGAATGCTTCTGTTCAAATTCCTCCCACCTTAAATTTTGTAACAGTTCTCTTTTAGAACTGTGCTCTGAATATCTTCCTAATGCTTTGGACTTGAATTCAGAAAAAATAAATGTTGTTTTACCATCCGATCCTTTAGTAAATATATGACATCTGGGCCTCTTCCTCTTCTTGGTTTCTTTCTTCAGGTTATTAAAAGATGATGTGTCAAAATTATCTGTTACTTCTTCAGTAGTTAGAGCTGAAACAGCACCAGCATTAGTACTGTCCTAAATTTGAGAAAAAATAGGTTATTAAGATGCCTATGTAAAGGAAGAGAGTGAAAGCAGATCAGTTGAAAGAGAGTTGATAATGCTTGTACCTTGTCTTCTTAGTGCACCATCTAACAGCCCTCATTCCCTTTGTGCTGCTTTAGAACAATCTGTTATTTAGTAATACAGCTTTTTATCCTTCAGTGAGCCAGGGTCAGCTGCTGTGCACAGAGCATGTCCAAAGGGGATGCACCATGACACAGGGCTATTGTTTGCCACCACATGGGAGACTGAAACAGCGCCCAGCTCTGAAACAATATTGGGTAGTTCTGATTAAAATAGTGTCAGTGATGTCTGGGTGCGAGAAACAGACTGATCTGGCTTAGCCCTGACTGTGTTGTTCAGTGAGTTTCCAGGGGTCCTTGCAATGCCTGTGTCACTCCCTTTACCCATGGGAGGAGTCTGCAGGACTGGAGACTGCTAGGGAGCACTACTTTTACCTGCTTGGTCTAATGCTCCTCTCTTTTCCCCACAAAACTGTTCAACTAAAATGTTTTTTATCTCTTCTACACAGACCTTGCCAAAGTCCTTTGAATCCATTTAGGGGACCCTTGAGCAATTTGTGCTCTCTGAAAGGTCCAGAGTGGGAGCACCTCAGCCTGATTGGTGATTCCTGGGCCATGCACTTGGCCTCAGGTCTGTGACATTACCTTCTCTGCCTCTGTCTCTGGTGAATTGAAGTCAAGCCATTTCAGTTTTCTTTTATGAAGTAAGAAAGAAAAAAAGAAAAGCAAGAGCACCTAGTCCTTTTCCTCATGAAGAAGGTCTGGAGGACAAACTCATGACCTATTTGGAAAAAGATTGGCAGCTGCTTTTCTGCTGAGATGCAGTTGCATTTCAAAATCGGTGAGGAGTGTCCAGAGGAGAACAAGCGTAACTACGGTGCTCATCCACATGATCCAGGAATGTCGTACGCAGCATCTGTTCATCACAAACAGATTAGCTTTAATTTTCTATTCAGGATGACTGCACAGGCTATTCAAGATCATTTTTGGGTTGCTAAACCTCAAAGAATCTATTTCTTTCTTTTTTGATGTTATTGCCATGGAAACTGGCTAAATTGCAGGTCCAGATTACATCTTTACTGTGCACTCACTTTCATTTTGATCTGATGACATTCTTCAGGTGCCAGGAAGAGACAAAGAACAAATCAATAGTGTTCCTTGAAACACACAGTCACTCCCTGTGCCCTCCAGCCTTTACTACCTGAGTGTAGCCGCTTGTTTTCCATCTCCCAGGACAAGAGACTTGAAACCTGAAGATTTGTTACCTGCAGCCTCATTTTCTGTGATAGCATTGCTCAGCCAAGCTGGAGAGGACAACTCAGCAGATTGCTTCCTCATCTTTCTCACACCTGTGCAAGTGGTAACAGAGGGATGCACAGTGGAGTGCAGATCTTGGAAATGTTTAGCTGATGCATTAAAACTGTTGAAAACACATATAATTAGGAGTCAAGGAGAATTGCTATTAAAAGTAGGTGTCAGTGTCCAGAATGGTGAAGGCCGTGTGTGAGAATCCAGATAATAAATACTTAAGGGAGGAGTGTCTCTATGCATGTCTGCATGTGATGGCCCAAACCATAAGAGTTGCTCTTCCCATAATTTTGGGATTTGAGTGCTGTCTTGAGTGTGGGAGATCTCTAATTTTTTTTTTTTTTTTGGCATTTTTATCAAGGTGCCCGGTAAAGGTGCTCTCTCTTGTGACCTGGCCAGGATTCTTGGAGGTGAAACATAGGGACTGTACTTCTAGAGATCAGTTGCAAGCTCTTGTTTTAATCACATGATAATAGTGTTTTTTTCTGATGAAATAGCGTTTATTCCTCTACAAATCCTGTAGGTTTGAAAGTGAATGTTGGGGGGAGGAAACTGAAATGAGTTATGTGTATTTTCTTTTAAGAGTTTAGAAAACCTGGACATGAACGTATGAGTAGCCCCTAGGCAGCAGTAAAATTAGAAACTGGTACTTATATTGCAAGTCCTAATATATGCAACTGACCTTGGTGACATTACAAGAGCAATCTTCACACAGATAGAATTTTTAATGGAGTATCTATAATGCATTACTCATTGATGCCTTTGCCTTGCATCAGGCATTCAGGTCTTATGTCCATTTTCCACTGTACTTACACTGCAGTCAAGTTACAAGGGAAAAATCTGTTATTTCTTGCTGTATTATTTTATCTCTGACCTTTTGTAATAGAGTTTAGTTTTGGAGAAGCCTTTCTTTATCAGTATAAAGTCTTTTATCCTGATAAATATTACTATGGATCATAAGTTGAGGGAAATTAGTACCCTTGTGTTGCATGAGAAAGCAGCTTTGCATTAAATGAAATAGTTTTTCATTCTTTTTTGTATGCGCAGGGTGTTGAGATTGATTCTTTTTCATTCTGAAATGAAATGATCTGTTTCTGAACCAATATAAACTTGTTAGTTTATATGAGTGATTCATTGGCAGAGGTTGCTTTTGTTGCAGAAAGACTTGTGTATATTGACCACAGCTGATTATATGGCTAGTTTTGGCTGAACCTGGTAATATTATGATCTCTATATCCTCAAAATTTGTATTCAGAAGAAATTGTGGAGTGGGGGAGTTAAATTTTGACAACTATCATTTTCCAGCATGTCTTCATGAAAACTTGCTTGCTTAGGGAAGGAGCACTTTTCTTTGCTCTAGCCTCTGCTAGTGAGAGCAGTGCATAATCTAGTATTCATACTACAGGAAAAGATGCTGAGGAGCCAATTGTGTGTTCCTGATTCTGTCATGGATTCTGGCAGTTTTCTTGCATGTAAAGATGTGGCTTCCTGAGTGTGGAAAAATAAAATTAAGAGACAGAGAAGGAGCAGGCATTTTTGAAAATGTTGGCCTTGATATGTCAGTTTTTGCATTTCTAAATTGAAGGATTCTGAGTATTTCACAAGACTCTTTAAAGGCTCTGTGAGTGTTTGCAAGGTGTTTTAGAGCTGGTCACATGGGAAACTGCACTGCAGTGCAAAGAGCAGCATCTTCACTTCAGACCACACCTCTGGAACGTTTGTACATTTGGGGATAGCCTCATCTCAGAGATGGTCATAGATCTGATTTTCTCAGATGTATTATTAGCCTCTTCCCCAGGAATTTTATCAGGAGGAAAAGGAAAAGGTTTGTTTGTTTGTCCCAGATGCCCTCAGAGAGTGTCAGAGCTGGTATCAGTGTCCATTTGTTGTCATGTGCACTACGTGATGCTCCTGCCCAGAGCTGTGTTGTACAGGATGGATTGTTGTCTGTCTCAGGAATGTGGGAATGGATAAACTCTTCAGTGCAGTTCATGGCAAGTGCTCAGTCTACCTTATCATAAAAACATAAATAAATTGTGCCTGCAGATTTTACAAATTATTGTGAATCCATCAGCCTAAGTTAAAGAGTTAGAGTTTTTCAGGAAAAGGAAAAAACCCCAATCCTGTGTTTAGTTAATCAATAAGTGATGGAAAATCCAGCTTCTTTCCTCTGTTTATCAATAATATGTGATTTTATTAAATTGCCTGCCCTGTCTCAGTTGACATACAAACCTTGTTTGACATGTAGTGGCTGTTGCTTGCACCTGAGGTTGAATGTACTACATAGAGCATGTAACTGAGGAGGTGGGGTTTTGTTCATCCTTTCAGTTAATTCTGTGTGTTCTTTTTTTCCCTCCCCTTCGTGCTGCACGGCTGATTACCACCCTAGGACCTTGCAATGGGACACAGACCCCTCAGTGCTGCAACTCCAGTCTGACTCTGAACTTGGGTATATGTCAGCTCTTTTTGTTATCATTTCTTTGCAATAATTATGTTGAAAATGCTTCCTAGTTGAGCTGGTTGTGTGTGATTTTCATTTGCTTTTTTGACTCAAAAAGACCATAATTTAAGTTTCCTTTTTTTTTTTTTTTTTACTTTCATAAGTAAGAAGCTTCAGCAAAGTCATATTTGTGGGAAAAAAACCCCCAGCTATTTAAAGATGCTTATGAAAAGATAAATTGCTATTTCTGTTGCCTGGAACACAATACAAATAACTATTTCATTTCAGATGAAATGTTATTATTGTGGCATATATGTGCATGTATAGTTACACTGATCTTGTTTATACCTGTTGATTCAGACTGTTCTCTCTGAATCATTTGCAAGATACTTTTCCCCTCCTTTCTGCTTGCTGTAGTTACGCTGTTTCCACATGCAGTAACAATGTCCCCTTTTCCCTCTGGAGCTGTGTACGTGTTTAAAATTGTACACTTAGATATGATCATAGTCCAAGATTAAGTGCCATCTTAGTTAAGTTCAGGCCTATTAAGCTTTTAAAAAATTTTAGTAGAGCTAAAATTAATATTTTATAGTTTGGGATGGAACTTCTTTAGCCCAACAAGTGAAAAAAAAACCAGTTAATGTAAATTATGTAGAAATGCTTGCCTGCAGAGGTATTTAGGATAACCTGTTCCTCTAAAAGGGTGGCTAGCAGTACCTCAAGTTCTTCAGAGCATGAGTCTCAGGTAAAACCAAATCACTACTCTGAAAAATTTGTTCTACCAATGGACTTACAGGGTTGCCTGTTTTGAGTCTCCAGGCAACTCTCTTGTGCTTTTCTTGTTCATGTGTTACTTCATTCACCATTCTGTAAGAAAAACAACAGCTCCCTTTGGCTGCTGATTGACAGTGCTCCCAGCTGCAGTTAGGTGTGTTAGGTCTGTTCATCAGGAAAGATCCAGAAGGAACGTATCCAGAGAGTTTTCTAAACAGAAATATTTCTCCATATCTAGAACTACTAGGAATGTTTGTAGTTTACACGAGTGTGACTTTAAATAGGTCACACATCTACAACTTTACCTGGGCTGTACCAAAAAGGTAGAGTTTTTTGAGCTATTTTAACCCACAGAAACTTTATAGAAATCCCAGCTGCTTTTTTTACAGAAATTTGAATTAAAATATGAGGACTCCTAGGAGCTGTTTGAGAAACAGCTGTGCAAAGCAAGTTCCTTTATCTGACTCATGTAAAGATAACTCTGTATGTAGAGACTTCAATCAATTGCTAGTAGCCAGTGCAAAGACAAAAAAGGAGCATACCAAAGAGCAAATCCACAGGTATACATTTTAATGGGAGTCCTGTCCCTTTTGAAAGGAAACTGTCTTCAAACCCCAGGCAGAGTTAAACTTTCCTCTGGTGTTCTGAGACTAGAGCAAAAAAAACTCAAAAAGCAACAAAACCAATGCAAAAGAAATCCTGCAGTCAGCAATTAAATTATGTGTGTCTCAAAAAACTTCTAGCAGATACATCTTTTGTATGATACCTATGGACAGAAGAATCAGTTAATCAGTTTAATGCATGGGTTTTAGTCACTATCCTCCTACTGGCATCCCATTAGCAGTTTGGAAAGGAATCCTTCAAAGCTTATGTGTTCTCTAAGATGAATATTTATTGAATTTATGAGAATTATGAGCACCTCAGATGAAAAATGGGGATGGGAAAACAATCGACCATTTAGTGTCGCCCTAAAAAGAACTAGAGACTAGAACATTGCAGCACATATTTGGTAAAGTCCAGGTATTGAAAGGATGCTCCAGTTGTCTTTGAGTGCTTGGGCAAAGTCTAGGCCAACTTTTAGTAACATGAGAACAATTAGAGGTGGCTTGACACAGACAAACAGCAATCAGTAAATCACATTCCTTCAGATGAGAAGGACCTCCCAGTCATCACCAGTAATTACAGGATATGGGTGGCACAAGGCATTTGTAGAGACCAGCAGTTACTGAATTGAAAGTGTTTCAGATGAAGAATTGCATGCACTGTCTCAGCACAGTGCTGTGGGAATTAACTTGTAGGACACAGTGGGCAGAGGTTCAATCCACCCAACTAGCAGTTAAATCCAGCTCTCCTTTAGGGTCATGTTCCCCATCCTCAGGCAGTCCAGAAGATACAGCGTGACCTCATGTGAAACTGTTTTAGAATTGGGTGAGGTTCTAATTAGGTCCAGATTATACACATAATTAATTAGGGATTATACTTAACCAAGACCACTGTCACGAGACTTTCAATGCAAAGAACCTCAGTAAATGGAAGGAGAGCCTGGGGCAGCAGGGGACTTGTTACATAGGGAAACCAAACTGACCAAGAAGGCAACAAAGACTGCACATCTGGTGCTGAGGGAGGAAAAAGCACATGAGAGTTTGCTGGGGTGAGATATTTATTAAAGATTGAATTCACACAGACCATAAGTTAAAGCAGCTACAAAATACAAAACTACTAAAATTTTTACTGGCTGAAGAAACTTTCTTGGCCCCAGTAATGAGGTAGAAGTTTTTCTGTAGAGTTTTTAGACAATTGTAGATTTTGTTCATATTGGCAATGTCAGAGATGATTGTAAGGAGGGAGACTTGTTAATTTTTCTTCTTTGAAAAGTGGAAGGACTCAGAGCTACAACAACTGTTTCTGCTCTGGTGGTTTGTTACACAATACAGATGATTTGTACAGATGATTACCTGCTGAATCTAATTGCAGTCAGCTTAATAACAACCCAGACAGTAAAATGGATTTGAAAAAAAATGTGGCTGGTGCAGCTGAAAAGTTCAGTAGGTGTTATCCAGTGATGACGGTTTCCTTTTTAGACTCCCATTTCCTTTCAGACATGAATCTTGATTGAATACCTAAATCACTGTAAATTAATTAGGTCAAAACCCCTATGACTTCTGTTCTTCTGACAGCCTGGAAAATGAAGTGGATATGGATAATATGTAAGAATTTGCTATTTTTCCAAATTGTTCTCTTTAATAATGTGGCAAGTTGACAAACATTGTTTCCAGGAATTTATTTCCCCATAAATGCACAAGCATGCTCACACTTGTTGATTTAGGTAACTGGCCTTATTTAGTTCATTTGGTTTTGTTTGCATTATTTCTCTGCTGGAAGTTGGCTTTTTTCTGGTAAAACACTTCCAAGTAACTGTTTGTATATTACTCATTCCCTGCAGACAGTCAACTAATATTCAGGAAATAAACTGATTTTTTACCCTGCTGCTGAGTGAACTGTGCACAACTAAAAGTGCTCATGAGCATGCTCAGCTGCCTCTCTTCTTTTTCCCTTACCCACTTACAGTTAGTTTACTTCACTGATTTATTTCATATGGTTTATTTAAAGCAAGGGAAGTAGACAAAATAGAAGGCTATACTTGCCCTGCTCCAGTTGTGTTTTAGCTCTCCTCCAGCCATTGCATTAGGACTCCAGTAATCATAAACCTACTTCAAGGCCACTATTGCTCCTGTGGAAGGCAGAATCTCCTTCTTTATGGAAATTACACACCTTGCCAGTTAAAGACTCTGTTACTGCTCCCAGCTGAACATTTAGCAGTTTAATTCATCCTGGTGTAAACCCACTGTGCCCTTTCCACAGCTGTGTATCCCAGGCCGAGGATGAGCTCCTTTGAGCAGACAGAACATCATAGTAATGATGGTATGAAAGAGAATTTTGTTGCATGTTGAGAAGGACACAAGCAGGCCATTTCTCTCATTTGCAGTCCCTCTCAGCAGCATGGTCTAAAGGTTCAACAACTGGACTTTATTACAGCAAATGGTTCCCAGGTTGATTTTCTTCACTGCAGTGAGGTACTTCTCATGCATATTGTGTTGTGTTTCACCTTTACAAACACTGAAGTATTTTTGTCCTGTCCATAACAACAACATTTGTTCCTGCTGCTGATTTACATTTACCATGACTAACCTTTTGATGTTGTGTATTTCACCTTAGACGCAGACTGCACAAACTAGGGGTGTCAAAGATTACCCAGGTTGATTTCTTACCTCGGGAGGTGGTATCATACTCCAAGGAGACACAGACACCTCTGGCCACACATCAATCTGAAGGTAAGATTTATGTTTTTGTTTTTGTTTTTGTTTTTTTTTTTAATTTTAATAAAAAATTTGCATTCTAAGTTAAAGAATATAATAAAAATAATAGTAAGTCATAACATAGCTGCTTATCATGTGTTTTCTGCAAGCCAGCTATTGTTTATGTGATTAATGGCTGTTCTGATGTGAATAATTACAAAAATCACTTTAAATGCAGGTGGAACCAAACTACTTCTGACTTACAATGGGTTGTGCTTAGATAGCAGCTTAATGGGAACATTTTTTAAAATAAATCATTATGAATATAATTAAAATTGTGCTTTATTCATTTTTTTAATGCTTTCTCAAGGAAGTTATAAATTCTGTGCTTTGTAAAGAGGCAGTGTTGGAAAGTTGCCCTCAGTTGTTTGGTCAGGGTAATTGTGTCCCCCCTGCTGTAGGTGAAGCTTAGGGAGAAGTTGCAGCTTAGGTCCATGTACTGAAAAAGGAGGTTTGCATACTTTGATGTGGACAGTCTTTCTTTCTTTCTGTCTGCTGACATCATGCTGGCATGTGTACTCATGGAGGTGTTTGTTGGCTGTTTGGCTCTCTTGTTGATAAGCAGATACACAGAGTGGCAGGGGCTTGCTGATCTGCCATTGCTGTACTGCAGAATGCTGATTGCAGGTCAGTGGAACCATTTAAACTGAATGCAAAACAGTACATTAGCCTGATGTTGACTGTGCACTAGAACAAAGATAGAAGAGGAAAAACTCAGAGCAGTACTGACCATAATTTTTGCTGTTTACAATGAAGGATCAAGAAATGTTCAACAACTGAGTAATTTTCTGCAGAAGATAGTGTAGAACTTTACCAGGCCTCATTCAGAGAAGAAAAATATTCAAGTAGGTTCAGAAGGTGGTGGTGGTGGTAAATCTGTCTAAATATAAGGTACTGTCAGGGAAAAGAGAGTGATAAATGCAGCCAGTTGTTTTGGGGTTTTTTGGGGTTTTTTTGTAACTGGGTAACAAGGTCTGCCTTAGGAAGCATAAATAGAAACTGTTGAGCTGGATGCTCAGATTCTGCTTTTCTGGAGTACAAGTTTACCTTGGTTATCTGTGGTCTGAAAAAATGCCTTCAAACACAGACAGCCCTTTTGCTTGGCTGATGCTCCTTGAGCAGCGTGTCCAAAGAGCTTTGGCTGCTCATAGGGAGGAGCTGCCTCAGAAGCCTCCCTGGGTCAGTCCAGCTCATCTCTGCTTGTTTCTCTGTGGGCTGCTGAAGCCTCAAGAAAATGGGTTTTGCTCCTGAGTCTTTGTCTTCTTTGCTTAGGACCAGTTGATGCTCAACCCTGGAGCACTATCATGAATTCATTGTTAGATCAGATGGAGAGGGTGTCCTTCCTCTCTGACACATGGCCTTTATCCAATGCAAGAACCTATGGATATGGGGAATTTAAGGCATGGCTTTGTGTTTGCCTCCCTCAGACCTATGACTCCAGCACTCATGAGCTGACCTGCCTTTCTGAAAAGAACAGGCTCACTTAAGGAAGCATCTTCTTTCAGTAAGATCTTGCTTTTTTCCCCAAGGACCTCTTCAACTATTACAAAATCCTTTTCTTACTAGACAAGAGGACTATCTCCTATCCTTCAAGGAAAAAACCCCAAACAACAGTGTGGTGCCATGGAGCCTGGCAGTCAGGACAATGAGCAGAGAGGCAGTGTGGTTTTGTGCTGGTCCTCCCAGCACAGAGGAAAGTCACTTGTTCCTCATTTGTGTGAAAGAAGATAAGTGCAAACATAAAACATCCTACACTTTGAACTGCCTGGGCCAAAACTGTGACAGAAGAGGTCAAGTATGTGGGTTTGGTGACTGGATTTGTTATATTTCCTATTCTCTGTCATCACAGCCAAGGAAAAAACATCAACAGTAGTGGTGTTTTACATACTAAACACAGAGGAAATATCACCCAATCTCTTCCTTCAGATGTGTGAGGGAGAGAAAGTGTAACTTATATTTCCTTTGCAATCTGCTGCTGGAGAATTCTCTGCATATAACTTGGATATGGTTATGGCTGTGCAGCAATAAAGGAGATTTAGGAAAGTTTGGTTATTCCATTGAGAGGCTATTTAACTGGAAATTCTCTAGGGGGTAAATAAGCACTGTGATTTTGGTCTCCCAGGTTAGATGGAAATGAATTCTCAGGTTTCCAATCTCCCAAGCATCTTTATGAATGCTGAGCCCTTCATGCTGTCAGTCTAAACATGAACAGAAGAGAGAGATTCCTCAGGAGAGTAGCTTAGAGAAGAAGTCTCTACACTGTTTCTATGCATTCATGTGATAAAATACAGCCATTATCTTTTCAAGATAAATAGTTCAGCCATTACTATGGTTATGGGCTCAGTTCTTTAGCATCTGAAGCCTTAGAGTTTGAGAACAGAAAACAAAAAACTTATTTACTTGGTTGAGTCTGACTTCAGCATTTGCAATTCACTTTTCACTGCCTGTCTTAAATACTGGAAATGTCAAAATGCAGAATTTTAGGATGAGATTGTCCCATGCTTGCTTCTTGTTTGGAAGACAACTAGTGAAAGATACAGCTGGTTGGAAAGATGGGTGAAAAGAGGACTTGGACTCCATTCAAAGTTCCTGAGTTTTTTTCTAAATATCTTCATCAGGTTTTCTGCATTTGCTTCTCTAGAGAGCAAGAAAGAAACCAGATCTGAGGTACTTTAAACCTACTGCTGTTCTGGAGCTCAGTGGATGTTCTTTGTGGTAATGGCTATTGCCCACCAAACCTAATAAAACTGGAACAGGAAGGGTTCACTCTGGTAAGTCCATGTGGTGCCAGAGAGCCAGATGCTCTGTGCACTGAAGTCTCAGCTTGTCAGCTGCTAATTTTAGAAGAAATAGTGTGGCATTATTCTTCACTGTATAAAAACCAGATTAACTCCTCTTTTCAGAGCAGGTAATTTGCTTTATTTCAGAGGAACAATGACAAGTCATTTCCCACACCAAGTCTATTATTTAGGGAGATGTGTATATGCATCATTCAATCCTTTGATCACAAGTACCTAATTCTTTTGCTTTATTTAGGTCACAGTCAGCTTCAGCCTTTTCTTTCCTTCCTTGCAGGATGACTTCAAAAACACACAGATCTTGGCGCTGGAGCCTGAGAAAAAAAAAAAAAAAAAAACATGCTCTTTATTTTCCCCTTCTTCGTGCTATAATTGAACTTGAATTCAGGTATTTGTAGGCATTGAGAGACATTTCACTAGTACTGTTTTTTCCATTCTGGAGTTGATTAAGACCTAGACCATGCCAAATATTTTTGAGAGTTCTCTTGGATACGTCCTTCATTGTGCAGAGGCTCTCACATCCCCTCAGGAGTGGCAGCCCCATGTAGCCTTCAATGGTTGGACCCTCCAAAGCACTGCAGACCTGCTGCTTGCTGAAGGTGCACCTAGGAGAAAACAGAAAAGCCATGGATAGCCTCTGCCCAGGAGGGGTCCCTCACTGCTGTGCAGCAGTGGGCTGAGCTCTGTGTGACTGCCTGCAATCCACCTTTTCAGACAGGAAAACAGTCTGTACATTCAGGCTCTGCTGATGCCTGCCTCATCTCCAGCTTACTGTTCTGCTCTTTAATGGGCCAGAAGGTAAAATCTTGGAGAAGGGAGATACTCCTCTGATCTGGGTCCCCTCAGAAACTGAGGGCTGCAAGAAGGAGAAATTCTGTGACCTTTCTGGCTTTGCTGTCCAGTGTCAGGAGTGTTGTTTCTTTTGCAAAGTAGAAATTACTTCATCAATAAAATGAGATGTTCTCACATTCTGCCATGACAGACTGTCACTGCAAATAGGTTAGTCAGAAATCCATTCCTGAAAGAGTAGGTCCTGTATACAAGAGAAGATCTGGCTTTCTAAAACAATGGAAGTCATGTGCACTTCATCAGTTTATCATCTTCAACAGATATTTGTTCATGGGGGAAACAAATGGTCTGCCATACTCACCTCCTGAGCAGGGTAACCTCATCCTATGTCACAAAAGTAGCTCCGTTCTGGCAAAGAACACAACTGAGACCTGTGATCCATCTGTTTATCTAGCTTTTCAAACTCTAAGGGTATTTTGGCTGTTAGAGAAAAAAGAGAAATAAGCTCTCTGCTCTTTCTGGAAGTACGTTGGAATGAAGCGGCAAAATGGACGTGGAGCTCCAGAGACTGGGTTGGGTTCTGCATGTGTCTGACTGTAATTCTCTGCACTAAACTTCCTGAAAGTTACCCTTTTTAAAGCAGTGAGGGAAGAGGGGAATTCTCTCACAGTCAGGCTCGTGAGACTCATGAGCCTGTCTGTGTGTGATACCAAATATTAAGTGCCTACTGTAGGGTGAAGCAAAATTCCTCTGGGTGCCACTGATTGCATTGACTAGTTCTTCACTGACAAATTTGATAAGAGAGCACTTTATATAGTCATATTGATTTAGGTTTGTCATTATGGAGTAAAATGGGTATGTCTTAAAGAGTGATACTTTGGGATCATGTGAGGCCTGTGGCCTACTTTGAGTTTTAGTAATTGGATGGGAAGTTATCTGTGAGTAGGACTGACAAGCTCCAATGCTGTGAAAACAAGTCAGACCTCTGGAATTTTATCTTTTCCATGATAAAATCCATGGATATTAAGTATTTTATTTATACTTTGGTTCTATTTATACTTTGATTATCAAGTCCAAGATTTCCCATTTAATCAGTGAGCAGATCTGTCTCTGTACATGCTTTAGGATACTGTGCAGCAGCCCTCTAGCCCAGCAAACTCTGCCCCAGTCCTGCTGTGCCTTGCTGTGCCTGACTGTAGCTCAGCTCTAGCTTTCAGGATGCATGCTGTACTTTGGAAAAGCCAGTCCCAGAACTGAGATCATACTTGAGCTTTCCCATGGCCAATCTGGCTAGAGCTTGTGGATCAGAAGCTGAGGTTTAAGTTAAAGAGCTTACTTTGGCTTTTCCCTTCCAGAGAATTGTAAGCTCAGCTCCAGTCTCAAAAGGAC